TCTTATGGGCTTCTTGAACAAGGAGGCTGGGCCCCCTCTACATCCTCCTGAATCCACACCTGTGCAGCATGGTTTATGACTCAGCATTATGTGCATTGAAGGTTTTCCACTTCACATTTCCAAGTAGAAAGATTAGTGTTACAGAAGTGCCCAATTGAAACTAGTCCAAAAGATTTATAGATTGTCCTCAGTGTCTTGACGTTCTACACCAAATTCTTTATGAATTTTACACTTGGCAAAATGTTAATGCTGGAAGCCACAGTCAGTTCCTAATGTAGGTCCAAAGCATTGAATGTGTCATATCATTAATTGCCTGGTTATATTAGTTTCCTGGACCTTCATGTAGACCACTCTTAATCCCTTGGAAACAAGAGGTCTTGCACTGGTAGCACAACTTAAGGTGGCATTACAGGTCTTTGAGCAAGTTACAGCAACTTCTCTGCCAAAGTCCGTTTAGTTTAAGCTTCAATGAATCAGGCTGTTGCCATCCTACCATATGTCGGTATAAGTCTATTCATCCATATATCTATTACTTATTGCTTGTTTCCTTGCTTTGATAGGCTACAATGTTCTCGGTTCTTTAGGAAGAGGATTGTGAGAAAAATACCACTGCAAAGTGATGAGAAATGGTAGAGAATAGGGGAGTGGACAGACTAGATTATTCAAGAATAAACAAATGAGGAATTCTTTATGAAGTACCAGTCTGAGTTTGTGACCAAGTGATGTAATATGGGAACCATATAAAAAAGCAGGTATGTCTGACACTGACCTGTTAGAGAGGTGCTTCAGAGGCTCCTTTATTTAGATATTTAAAGTTCCTAAGATATTGACTTTTCCCTTTGGCTGTATAGTTTTAATCTACAGTTGTGCCTTACTGTTCCATTAAAATTCTATCATCAATAATCATACTTGTGGTACAAACAAAGATAATCAAATGAAACAACTTTGAACATGGCAATTTATTTATGAGTTATTTAAATCCATTGTTTAAAAATGTTCAAAAGGCACTTTAAAAAATGCTAAAAAATACATTTTTCTGACTTGTGGTGATCACTTAAAATAAGCAAGTCACCAGACATTTTAAAACCATTCATGACACTTATTACCTCAAATAATTTTAAATTCCAAAACACATTACTAAGTACTACAGCACACTGCTTAGCAGTTAAGATTAGTTTCCCTCTAATAATATACTTCATGTAGATTATTAATTTGCAGGACCCTGCAGAGATATTCAGACAACTCATATAACTGAAAACTAGAGATGTAAAGGAGTTGAAACACAGTACAATTCAAACCTAAAATTAGTTTTAGAGTTGTTTCTCTAAAGAGAATTTATAAATTTTTTCATTCCAATTTGTGTTGAAGTTTCTATTTCAACTCTGATGTATAAATAGAACTCATTTTTTTAAAACAGAGGTAACATTTAGCATAAAATATACCACAGGTTGTTCCCAGATTCCTTAAGTATGTTATTGAACTTGCTATCAAGTACAGAAATGAAGCAAAGCAGTTTTGAGAAAAGGGTAAGTGGGTGATCTAAATAACTTTACTTCCTTTGATAATTGTAGATGTAGGATTAATTTAAAATTGTAAATTTTTAAGTAGCACAAATATCCTGAGAGCCAGAAGGTATTATTCAATAGACTTTTACTTTAAATTTCATAGGGAAACCTAATTAGTAGATATAAAATTATCAGTAAATGTTAGAAATTCTAATCATTATGTAGCACTAACAACCAAATTAACCTTATGAAAGCAGCATTAAGAGTAGCTAGAACATGGAAGTTAGTTATAAAAGAAATAAAGAGAAATAAATACAAAGAAGTGGAAATCGTCAAAGAGTAATAGTCTAATGAACTGAAAATTTAAATGATTAATAAAATGCTATACAATGTAATCAATCAAGGGATTCTTTCAATTACAAAAGTACCTTAATCTGGTAATATAGTTTGATAGGCTCAAAGAAGTGAAAATTAATACTCAAACATTTATGAAAATAACCAGTTAGAAAATTTAATGCTCAAATCCAAAAAATTTTTAAAAACTGGTCAGTGATTTATTTTCATATCTTAATACAGTAACAAAAACTACTCTGAAATTTATGGTATTTGAAAACAACTATGGAATGAAAACCTTTGTTATCTATGAACTTCCCACTAGAAAAGACAAGTATTCTGTTATTAGAGAACATAAAGATATCAAAAGCCCATTTATGTTTTGAGACCACCCTAAATTCTTTATAACAAAGACCTTAATCTAGAAGATGGTAAATAAATCATCATCATGCTACCTGGTTTTATGTACTCTATCAAATACTTGGAAAAAATTATTTTTGCCTTATTAGGTCATAAAGAACAGTCAAATGATCCTTGAAAGTGTAAAAATTTTAATGACAGAATTAGCAGAAAAATGTTCTGCATGTTATAAAACAACATTTTGCTACTTCTTAAAAAATTGTTTTACTTAACAATTGTGGGCATTTTTGATGACATTCATTTATGTATGCTTTTAATGAATTAGTATGTACTTATTGGTATTTAACGAACCCTTCATGTCCCAATGTAAAAGTACTAAACTTAGAAAATTACAGATTTTATTGCGGGCTCTGATGTTTGTCACTGTGGAGAAGCTAGAAAAATTCTGCCAAAATGAATGATCCACTAACCCTTTAAATTATCTTTGAAGCATTTTACATTTAATATAGTATGATCCTGGATTACACTGATTTAAAACATTAGTTTTACCTAAGTTTTAGAAAAATACCTTCATCAATGGGTAATAAATAATCTTTAGTGTGTTCCACAGACTATTTGTTCCAGAATCATGTATGTAGTTGGGCAGTGGTTCTCCAACAAGGATGAACAAGACTCATTTGTAGGGCTTGCTTAAACACAACTTCTAGCCCTGCCCTTGTTCCCAGAGTTTCTGATTCAGTATCTCTGAGGTGGGGCCTGAGAGAGGGTGCATTTCTGACAAATTTCCAGATTATTTGATGTTGCTTGTTGGAAACACACTTTGAAATCACTGCCCTTGGGTATTTGGTAAGAATGCATATTCATGGAACCTATGCTAAATCAGAATCTCTGGGATTTAGGGTCTTTAGAGGTGCATGTTAACAAGCTGTCAGCAAGTGTGAGAACCACAGTTTAAAAATCACTGACAATGTGGTCTGTTAATCTATTAACTGGACAATGTATCAGATGTCACATATCATGTAAGTGAAAACAGAAATCATGGTAACTGACTAATGTCAAGCTTGTCATGATTCAAATAAACACACAGACTTTGGGTATGAATCCAAACTCTGTAACTTACCAGCTTTGTGACAATGGAAAAGTTACATTAATTCCCTGAGTCTCGTTTCCTCATCCATAATAACGTGGAAATAATACTAAATTTGTGAGGACTAACATTAATGTACACAGAGTACCTAAACACCATACCTGGCATACAGTAGGCACTAGATAAATACTATAACTTATCATTATAAGAAATGTATATTTCCTTCAGTATCTGATTTGATCAAAGCAGATTTTCATTAATTTAAATGAAATATTTACACTCCAAAGTAACATAATAATAATATCTTATACATATTGCTCCCTATTCTGGGACAGTGTTCTAAGAGTCCTTACAGATACTCACTTATTTAATCCTCAGAAAAAATCCTGTGAGGTAGGTAGTATTTACCCCTAATTTATAGATGAGGAAATTGAAGCACAAAGAGATTAAGTAATTTTCTCAAGGTTACAAAAATAGTAAGTGATGGAGTTAAGAATTTAAACCCAGGCAGTTTGACTCTAAAGCTCAGGATTTGTCGCATCTATTTCCTATGAGTTAATCTTGAATGTTTTTTGATGTGTATAGTAAATCATTTCTAGTAAAGAAAAGTATACATGGAAATTCATGTCTACACCACAGTGAAGAGTTGTTCAAAGAATAAAATGAATGCATTGAAATTTTGGCAGACAACGCTACAGTGAAAACAGCAAAACCAATTTAAAAGGTAAAAACTGGTTCATGTTTTCACTATGTGGACAGAGTTAACCAATAAAACAAATATCTGCTTAAATATACCATCCCAAAAGTCATAGTTTTGACATGTTTTGGCACAAAAAGTAGAAATTATTCAGCTAAGCAGCAGAGTTAGTGGCCTGACAGCCACATAAAATAAAAATAATGATAAACATAAGGGAAATCTAAATCATTTGTAACATTAGATATAATCTTATAGAAAGTCTATAAAATATTCTATTATGACACACTCAGATAGTATTGCTAAAGACAATAAAAATTAAAAATGTTTTTTCCTTCCAGAAATTCTTTAAACAAATTACTATGAGACATCTCTGGTATGTTTTTGACAAGAGTTTTCAATTGGTATTCTGCTGTGTTAGAATTATCCACGGACAAAACAATTATCCTAAAAGTCAGTCAGCATCAAACTCCAGATTGTTATTCATAAATTATTTCACCTTTTAATATATGGCATTTTAGCTTAAGCACTCTGCATTTTCTAATGCTTTTACTTAACTGGTCAAAATCCTGCACTGAAACTAATCTTGCCAGTGTAACTAACAGCCACCTCAGATCTTAAAATGAATTTTAAAACTCTAAACAAGTAATGAAAGGCACAAACAAGTTCTCATCTCTCAAGATGAGAATGAAAGAAATTATAATTATGCAGTTGGAAAGAGTTTTACATAATTAAAAATGTCAGTAATTCCTGAGAGTGGCACTGATATAAGAAAAGCATCCCCAAATAGCATTGAATGTACTACTTAATAGTTTAGTTACCCATAATTAATAATGGGTAAATCTGGAAACAAATTATAAAATGTACGTTTAAAGAATAATATTAATGCTTTGAGTAAATAAATAGTGATTGTAAAGAATGGTATTTAAGAGTGGTTAATCATATTTAGAAAAGAGACAACAGGGACTCAGTAAAAGATTACTAATTAGAACCAAGTACATAATATAGTCAAGGCCCATGATAATTTTAAAATGTGGTTTTATTAATGCACTTTAGAGTAAGTGCCATTCTTATTCTACTTTGTTCTGGAAGAAATACTGCCAATTATAAATAATCACATTAGACATTAGACAAAAACTGTATTTGTGTGTGTGTGGGGTTGGTTCATTTATATGATACTGCAAAAACAAACTCATTCTTTAAGTTTATTAACACTGAACAACAATATTTCTTTCTAAAATTTTCTTTAAGGCAGATCTGTTTAGCATCATGTGTGTGTTAACTAACATGGTGCTGTGTAGTTTTAGAAAATTTAATTGTCTTAGTTTCCCAGTGACAATAATATATATGGTCAAAAATAGGCAACAAAATCTCTTTTCTAGTCTCTGTACCTGGCCACCTTTTTAAAAACACAAGTTCTTCATATATATATATATTTATATATTACTGTATCAAAACACATTTTAACAGACTTCACAGCTCACTTAAAGCTTCAGTTTATAGTCATTCATATGGAAGATATCTTCATGGAAATGTTCACTCAGAACTCCTCACTGGAGTCCTGTGCTCTGTGTCAGAAATGCAGAAGTTCTTCAGTGCAATGCTAGCCATTTTACCTGTCTTTATTCATGTTTTTCTTTCAAGGGTTTCCTAATTTTACTTTTGGATCTTCATTTTTGTTTGCTTGACTTATTTCCTTTAGTATATTTTCAGGTAAGGCAGGTTGATATCTGTATAAATAACCATACGGACGAAGATGATAAACGAGGTATTCTAACTCATACATAGTTGTAGAATCAACATAGTGAAAAGAAATTGCAAGATCAGAACAGCAACCAGGACCCTAAAAAGTAGTGCAAACAGGCATTGTTAATAAGGAGCACATTCCTAACACATGATATTCACATAGTTAATAAGGACACATTAATTTTAAAAGAATTCAACATTCAAACTTAATTTATTAGATCTGTGGAAGAAGTCAACAGTTCACTTAAGAGTTCCTAATGATTTAAAACCAGATATGAAATTGCCAAAGTATTTCTAACTGAAACAATGTTTTCTTACACCCTTCAGTGTTTTAGCAGATAAAATTCTTGAGACTTCTTCAAGTGAATGGGGCAGCTATAAAAAGGGTACTCTATTTCTTTAACTTTTACTTTTTCTTCCTAATTTTCTCACTGTAATTTTTTGCTTTTGCTTGCTTCAGTCTCAGAAAGATACCTCTTCAGCATTTAATGACTTAAGGCTTGTTAGTTGGTGTCTACAACATAATACTTCATCTGTAAGTGAACCCAGAAAGCATAGTATTTGACACGAAGTTCCCAGGCCAAACCAGGGTTTCAACCAAATTTTGCCTACTAGTGTACAACCTTGGGCAAACTGCTTAATGTCTGTAAGTTTCAATTTTCTCATGTGTAAAAGGTGGTTACTTAAAGGAGGGAGATAGGTGTGTAAAATGCTTGGGATTATGCTTTGCTTATAATAAATGCCGCCTATCATTGACCGAATTATCACCTAGGCTTTCAGGTAAGTAGGTCAGATTTAAATATTTGTCTAGTTATCGAATAGGGTTGGTCTGAGAACAAGTTAAAAACTAAGTAATAGTCCAATAAACAAAAAGGGATTGGAAAATAAAAAAATAAAGAAAATAGAAAGAGTCAGGCTGGTCCCAGAATTAAACCATTACAAGGTCAATTTAGGATCAGAATTGGTTTCTGAGAAAATGTGGTAAAGGCTATGTTAACCATTTTGATGAAGAAAATATTTCAAATGATACATAAAACCATAACATTGTACCCCATAATTGCATTAATGTACAAAAATTTAACAAAAAAAGAATTGGTTTCTAGAGAATATATCATCCAAGTTATTCCAACAAAACTTCACACTCTATCTTTGCAAGGACGAAGATAAGTCTGGCAAGTTCCCAGAAAAAAGAAATCATGTTGACTTTAAATTGGGAATCTATAGTTTACAGCACAGTAAAAATTACCAAGAAACTATCCATTGCATTTTCTCTGAATTTTCTCTTTGAAATAAACACTGGATATGTGGGATTCTTAGAAACCACATAGACTATAGAACATTATCTGGTACCTATTCTTTACACCTTTATAGAACATCAGAATAGATACAAATAAAGTAAACAGTAGATCAACTTGTGATTATCTAAAACAGCTTTGTCCAACAGTCATGTGAGCTACATAAAACAATTTAAACTTTTCTAGTCATCATGCTAAAAATATGAAACTAAGTGAAATTTGCATATATTTTAACTGAAAAAATTAATCATTATTTTAACATGCAATAAATATTTTAAAAGTTTATAATGAAATCATTGTTTTTCTTTTGCTAAATTCTTGAAATCAGGTGTGTGTTTTATGCTTACAGCACATCTCAATATGGACTAGCCACATTTCAAGTGCTCAATGGCCACGTGTGAGTAGTGGCTACTACACAGGCTAGTTCGTATTAAACTAAAGCCTCCAGATCAGCAGTTCTCAGCCTGTGGGTGGCGACCAGTCATATCAGATATTTATATTGTGATTCATAACAGTAACAAAATTATAGTTATGAAGTAGCAACAAAAATAATTTTATGGTTGGGGATCACCACAATGTGAGAAACTGTATTAAAGGGTCATAGCATGAGGAAGGTTGACAACCACTGCTCCAGACATTCAAGTGTGGCCCCTAGGCTGAATCCAAACTTCACAGAATAAATCCCTTTCTTAAAAGGATTCAGAAGGCCAAGCGTGGTGGCTCACGCATGTAATCCCAGCAGTATGGGAGGCCGAGGCAAGTGGATTGCCTAAATTTGTGGGTTTGAGACCAGCCTGAGCTACAGCAAGACTCCCATCTCTAAAATTAGCTGGGCGTTGTGGCCTGTAGTCCCCGCTACTCGGGAAGCTGAGGCAAGAGAATCACTTGAGCCCAAGAATTAGAGGTTGTAGTGAGCTATGACATCACGGCATCTACACAGGGCAACAGACTGAGACTTTGTCTCCAATAAAAAATAAATAAATAAAAAGAGTCAGTTAAAAGGCTACTCTCAAAGATCTAGAAGGCCATATGTGCAGGCTGCAGGTTTCCCACATTCTCAGTTATTTTTCAATTGCTGATCTCTGGAAACAATTTTTACATGCTCTAAAATATTGTAACAATGTTTTTGATAAGATTTACTACAGATTATAACTATTTTATTGAGTTTTTTTTTTTTACTGGATTACTGTTAAGCATTATAAATAATAAAAGAAAACAGCTATAATTACATGAAAACAAGAGTTCTTTGTAGATGATTATGGTTACCCAAAAACCTCAAGAATCTCAGGTGAAAAAATCAACAGAAATAAAGAATTCAGTTACAGAGCCAGATTTTAAAAAGAAAAAAAGTGTTCACATATGCCAGTTCTTAAAAAAACAAAAACCCAAGTAGGGCTGGGCATGGTCTATAATCCTAACACTCTAAGAGGTCAAGGAGGGTGGACTGCTTGAGCTCCAAGTTTAAGACCAGCCTGAGCAAAAGCGAGACCACCCCCCCACCCCCCGCTAAAAACAGAAAAACTGAACCAAGAAGATCGCTTGAGCTCAGGAGTTCAAGAACAGCACGAGCCAAGAGTAGACTCCATCTCTACTAAATATAGAAAAATTTGGGCTTGGCTCAAATTTGCGATGGCTCAGGCGTATAATCCTAGCACTCTGTGAGGCTAAGGTGGGTGGACTGCCTAAATTCAGGAGTTTGAGGCCAGCATGAACAAGAGCAAGACTCCGTCTCTAAAAAATAGCCGGGCATTGTGGCAGGAGCCCGTAGTCCCAGCCACTTGGGAAGCTGAGGCAAGAGGATCACTTGAGCAGTGAAGTTTGAGATTTCTATGAGCTATGACACCACGGCAGTCTACCAAGGGTGACAAAGTGAGACTCTTTCTCAAAAAAAAAAAAAAAAAAAAAAGTGTTTTTTTTTTTTTGCTTTTTTTTTTAAGAATAGTAATAAAAAGTTGCATACCTGGGAATATAAAGATATATTTGAAAAAAACAATAAAACTATACTAAGAGACCTTTTTTAAAAGAATAAAAATAAAAACCAGGCAAAGGTATCATCATCCCAAATTAATGATTTCATATGCATGAGAGAGAAAAAGAAAAAAAATTCATCTTTAGATTAGTAACTTAAAAATACTATAAATCTTGAAGCTTCAAAACAACATTATGCTATAATAAAAGCAAATAGAACTGTAGCACAGAACTGAACTCTTCACTTGAAGAAGTCTCAAAACATTGTTTCAGTTAGAAATACTTTGGCAATTTCATGTCCAGTTTTAAATCATTAGAATGCTAAGTGAAACCACTGTTCTAGAAGATAATTTGAAAGCACTGGCTTGTGAAGAAGAGAGTAGTAGCATCAAGTATATTATTTATATAATTAGGGCTAGAGAAAAGAAGGCAGAGAGAGCTAGGGACTTGCCTGAAGGCATAATTAATCAGTAATAGAACTGAGTCTAAAGGCTAAGTTTCATGATTCCCAATCTCATTCATTTATTCACTGCAGCAATGCTTATAATAGTGAAAAACTGGAAAAAAAATCTACCTGTTAAATGCATTAGGAGAACGGATAAACTATAATATATTCCTACTTTAAATCATTACACAGCACGTTAACAGAGCAGATACATAAAATAATATTAATAAATCTCAATGTGTAAAAAGGGCAAGTTATAGAAAAGATGCATATAGTTTGATTCCATTTATTTAAAAACTTGCAAAATGTTACTATATATTATTTATGGATATATAAACATGTGGAAAAACAGACATGGTAATATTAAATTCATGACAATGGTTAACTTTGGGGAAGGAGGTAACGAAACTGGATTGGGGAGGGTATGTAACTCTCAACTGTATAACATTTTTTTCTTCCAAAAAAATCTGAAGCAAAAAGGTTGCTGTAACAATCTTTTAATCTGTAAAAACAGATTAACATTTGGTAAAGCTTAGTGGTAGTCCAAGGTATGTTATTCTCAAATATTCATATATCTGAAATAGTTAATAAAATAATGTACTAGTCTGCCCTTTACTGTACATGTATCTCTCCTCATCCAGGATGTAAAGTGCATGAGAACAGGAACTTGGCTGTACTGACTTCCATATTCTCAATGCCTGGCATATAGTAACACCAATACATATTTGTTGAATGACTACAGCTGATGTCCCAGTTCTCATTTACTTTGTTATACTGCCACTCGGTACCAAAAGACAACGGAAGATGCCTAGTAGTATAGAAACATACATATATTAGTTTTTATCAACTAAAGTCAGTTCAAGTATTTACACAATAATGAAATTTCTAACCTTACCTCTACAGGAGGATAATAGTTATAATTCCAATACCAAAAGGTTCTGGGTAGATAACCTTTGATTAAATGGTGTTCTGGTACAAACGGATGAAACGTTTCTTTCCCAGTGGTATCTCTCGAATCTCCTGCTTCTACATTCATAATTTCCATGCATTTCCCCATTGCTAAGTCTTCGATGGAGGAACTATGTGTACATTTGTCTGTTTTAAATGCATCAACAAATCTCTTCAAGGCTTCTTTGCTTAGTACATATCCTGCCCCTCCACTCATATAGCCCTGCTTTACATAGGGCTTAAATCTTCTCCCAAAGTAAATGGGGTCTTTAGGGTCATGTTTTGAAAGAAGCCATCTTAAGTTGTCCACTATGACGTATGTATCATCATCTGCTTTCATAAACCAATCAGCATCTTCTAAATAATGGTCATGAACATAGTGAAAAGCTTTAATTGTTTTCCAGTATAGTTGATCTCTGCCTTCTTTGGTTTTTAATCCCACAGTAGGGAAGTCTTTATTTTCTTCTGAACTCATAAACAACACTTTATTACAACGCTGCGCCCATGTAGCTTTGACGTGTTTGGCTTTTTTCTCTAGATTTTGAGGGCCTGTCATAATCCAGCAAAGAATTTTAACTTTTTGATAGAGATGTTCAGCGATGTCCGTATTCTCATCTATTAAAAATATATTTTTAAAAGTTGTATTTTACACATACACACACACATAATCTAAACAAATTGTACTGAAGAAAGTATTTTCTAAAACAATATCAAAGACTCACCTTCTATTCACCCATCATTTAGTGATTTAACTGAAAGAAAGCCAAATTCAATCTAATGTCAACTGATGTTTTGATTTACTGGTTTCATGTCAGTTTTATCCAGGACTAACAAAGGTTGACAACAACCTAAATTCTTTCTTCTTGAACTGTGGTTTACTGATCAAAAGCATCAGGATCACGTGGGAGCTTGTTAGAAATACAGACTCTCAGACCCCAATCCCCTGAATCAGAATCAGTTATATTAAAAAAAAAAAAAAATTTATTGTTGGGGATTCACTGAGAGTACAAGAAACCAGGTTACATTGATTGCATTTGTTAGGTAAGGTCCCTCTTACACTTGTGTCTTGCCCCCAAAAGGTGTGTCACACACAGAGACCCCCCACTCCCTCCCTCCACTCTTCCTTTCCCCTCCTCCCTCCCCTCTTCTCTAGCTCTCCCCTTCCCTCACCCCCTACCGTGGACTAGGTCATGAATTGTTCTCATATCAAAATTGAGTACATAAGATTCATGCTTCTCCATTCTTCTAATGCTTTACCAAGAAAATGTGTTCCACTTCCATCCAGGTTAATACAAAGGATATAAAAGTTTCCATCTTTTTTAATGGCTGAATATTATGCCATGGTATACATATACCACAGCTTGTTAATCCATTCCTGGGTATTTTAACAAGTTCTCTGTGATTCATAAGCACATTAATGCTGCCTTAAAAAGTCTCTGCTTGGCATTTCATAATACAAAGAAAGTTTCAGTTAGTTTTCCACAGATTATTGACAAGAATTTCTCACTACTCTGAAAGAGCTTCTGAAGGGCAGGAAAGACAAGTTGCTGAAGTGGTAGTTCATTTTTGAAGTTCACAAGTGTCTGCTGCTATGATTTAACCTGAGGTGGCCTTGAAGGCCACCAGTTCAAACTAGAGTTAATTAATGAAGGTTTGAGATTACTTCCTAATAGTAATATACCTCATTCCAAAATGCAATCCACCAGTCAGAAACAGAACAGAATGAGTAGAGATGGGATATCCAAGATTGTTTAGGGCAGCGTTTTTCAAACTACCAGTGTGCAAAGAAATAAGGAGCTTATGCTAGAATATAAAGCAATATACTACTTCTTTCATCTTTGCTGGCTTGCTACCAAACAAACACAAAATCTATTTAACCAATAAATGAACTTAGCGGCTTCCACCAATTTACAACCTAGGATAAGAGCCTTATCTGAGTGCTGACAAACAATTCATAGGCTGTCAGGTCAGCACCACACATTGAGTGGTATCAACCTAGAGTAAATGCCCAGACATGAGATCCTACACCAGTGCTTCTCAAATTATTTGTGGTGAAAGAGCAATTTTTTATTCCCAATAGTTAAGAGACCTACATTTGTGGAAATACGATAAAAATGAATTACCAGAAAAATAGTCAGAAAGCATTCGCATCTCCTATACTTGAGGAGCTCAATCTCAGCTATACAGATATACCAGATCCTGAACGGATAGAGAAAACAGTATACACAGGAATCCCCAATTTGTTTCACTTAGGACAAGACAACTTCATCTTCACTGCTGCTATCTGGTAGATACTTCCATTCTTTTAATTATTCATCCATTAATTACTTTCATTATACATTAATTAACAGCCATGCTGGTACAAAAGATGAAAAAACAAATAAGACACATTTCTGCAACCAAGAAATTTATAGTTTAATAAGGGAGTTTGACAAGCATACCAATAATTGCTACATATTAAAAGGCATTATAACAGAGCTATATATAAGGGTTCAATGTGCTGAAAGAAAAGATTATAAATTCTATAAAGCAATGATATAGGGAAGCAGGTAGAACAGAGAAGAGAGAAATGATACTAGAAAAAATAAGATGTTGCAGAAAGTAGGTCTTTTAAGTGAGTAAAAACTGATAACCAGAATCTACAAAAAATTCAAGCAAATAAGCAAGAAAAAAAATCAACCCCATAAAAAAGTGGGCAAAAGATATGAATAGAAGATTTTCAAAAGAAGATAGATTAATGACCAATGAATATATGAAAATTGTTCAACGTCTCTAATCATAAGGGAAATGCAAATCAAAACCAGAATGAGATATAACCTATCCAGTGAGAATGGCTTTTATCAAAAAAAAAAAAAAAGATCACCAAATAACAGATGCTGGTATGGATAACAAGAGAAAGAAATGCTAACATACTGTCGGTGGGACTGCAATCTGCTACAACCTCTATGGAAAGTCATATGGAGATACCTGAAGGAAGTAAAAGTAGACCTACCATTTGATCCAGCAATCCCACTACTGGGTATTAACCCAAAGGAAAGAGTTATTTTATCAAAAAGACATGTGCACTCAAATGTTTATTGCAGCACAATTCACAAATGCAAAGATGGGGAACCAACCCAAGTGCCCATCAATCCGTGAGTGGATTAATAAATCGTGGTATTATATAGACCACAGAGTACTACTATACCACTTAGAAAAAAATGGTGACCTAATACCTTTTGTAATTACCTAAATGGAAGTGGAGAGCATTCTCTTAAGTGAAGTTTTGCAAGAATGGAAAAACAAAGAGCACACGTACTCACTATCAAACTGGAACTAACTGGTTAACATCCATATGTACATTTGTTAGTAAAACTCAACAAAAAGCAAGCAGGTTGGAGGAGGCAAGAGGGATGTTGTAAATTAAATTCACACCTAATAAGTATAATGCACACTGTCCAGGTGAGGGGCACACATAATTTTTACTCAAACTGTACAAAAGTAATTCATGTAACCACAACATTTGTATCCCTGTAATATTCTGAAATAAATAAGGGGAGAAAGATTCATTTGCTTACATAGAAAGAAAAAAAGTAAGAGCTCACCAAAACAAAGGACAAAATGCATGGTAGAGTTTGGTTGAGTGCAGGTACATGGGTATAGCTGAAGGGAAATAAATGAATTGAGGGAAATAAATGTACTGTGGATAGAGATCTAAAAAATGATAGAGTAGAATTGTTAGAATTTAGTGACAAATGGGACTGACTGGTAAGGCAAGTATCTACATGATTTCATCGTTTTTGGCATAAAGAATATAGGGGAAAGAGAAACTTTCAGAGGTAGGAAGGAAAAGAAAAGGAGATTCATCTTAACACATGTTGACTCTGAGGGGAGTAGACTCACTTTTAGCATATCCCACATTTTGTGGGTCAGTGAGCAGCCCGAGTCTGTATGTAATATATGTGCCTGTAGTGAAGCCCAGCCCAGCATACTGCTGACTGGCTTCAACGATGTTCTGCATGTAGCTATGCTACAGAGCAGCTGGACAGTGACCAGACTGTTCTATGATAAGAACAAAGACCACCTGCTCAGAGCTGAATTACTGTTATATAAATATTAACATAACATGACATGATTTGTTACAGTATCCATGTGCTTGCTAGTGGATAACCAGGCTTTGATACCTGGCCCTTCAACCTGTGCTCCAGAAGCAAGGAAGAAGTAATTTACTACTGGAAAGATGAAAAAAAAAAAACAACTCTGAACGTGGGACCTTCTGCATCTCTGAATTCCAATTTGTTTCCAAGCTGCATGTATTCTTTTCTATCAAATAAATCACAATTGGCAGAGATCTCTGCACTGTGTTAATGTCTTTTCACAGCGTCTGGAATTGGGCTGCAGACAAAGACAGTAAGGTATAGATGAAAATTATGAGGACTAAAGGATAAACTTGTAGAAAACCAACATTTAAGCAGCACATGGAGGACTCAACTGAGAAAATCTGTGGGAAAATAAGTCATTAATAACATAGTCTTAGTTTTTCACTTCTGCAGTTCTTTATGTCTCTCAAAAGATGAAAAGATTGTATTAATTAATGATTAAAAATAAATTTGAGATTTATAGATAGTGTGAATTTCCCTAGAAAAATAAGACATAAGCAAAAACTGACCAAAATAAGATAATCAAACCCAAAAACATCAATATAAACATAGATAACAAAACTGAACTTCAAGAAAAATTTTCAGAGGTGATCTGAAAAATTATGCTTATCCCCAAATCATGGTTTCCAAACAATTTCTACTTACATTGGATATTAATATCATATTGCCTAGATAAATCATAGTTTTAGCAATTCCTTTTTTCCTGAGGCAAACCAAGAATTGTCATTTAATATCTGGAACATAACGCTCGTTTTAATTAATACAGACTGTAATGTAACAATTCATACAAATAACTTTTCTAATTCTCTCAACACTTAGACTAAAATAGTGCTCATGTTTACTCCTTAATAAAGTAATCCATACCTTTATGTTGGCTAGCATCTACATTGAAGTTCATCTGTCCTTCTAGATGATTCCCTCCATTATCATCTGAATGCCTAGCATGAGGATCATTATGAAGAATATTAGGCTGGTTGTTGCTCTGCTGTCCCAACAAAATACTGAATAGCTGAGAGCATAAAAAAAATCCTATTGCTGATCCACAGAGGAAGGTTAAAAAATTCAGCCAAGATTTAGAGGCCATTTCCCGAAAGTGTATTTCTGTAAGAAAAAAATTAGCAGGATGTTATAAAATTATAAAGTGATATACACACAAAGAGTTAAAAAGTCTGATAATATCTAGTTTAAATCAAGAGTTAATTTCTTCTGTATAGGAGAATCTAGCATTTAACTTTTGATTACCCTATAGGTTTGCCCCTCTATTTACCGCTAAAAACAGTACAACACATACAGTTCAATAAAACAGATGAGTGATTAACGGGATAATCATTGTTGAAACAGGACATGGGTAAATACATCAATATTTGCACACAGAATTCCTGTTCTCATCAAGAGCCTTTGTGGATCCAAGCTTGTTCGGCAAGTTCCTTTTCTTTGTTTGCTGTCAACTCTGAGTCCTGAAGTCTATCTTTTTTTCTCTTTTGGTAGCAATGGCCACCCTGTTCTCCAACCCAGAGGTTAGAAAACTTTTTCTATAAAGAACTAGAAATAAAATATTTCAGGCTTTGTGGGCCACATGTGGACTCTGCTGCATTGCCAACAACTTTTGATATAACCTTAAATGTAAATGCAGAAAAAGCATTCGATAAAATCCAGCATCCTTTTCTAATTAGAACACTGAGGAGTATAGGCATAGGTGGCACATTTCTTAAACTGACTGAAGCCATCTATGACAAACCCACAGCTAATATTTTATGGAATGGGGTAAAACTGAAAGCTCTTCCTCTTAGAACTGGAACCAGACAAGGTTGTCCTCTGTCGCCATTACTATTCAACATAGTGCTGGAAGTTCTATCCAATATAATTAGGCAAGACAAGGAAATAAAAGGCATCCAAATCAGATCAGAGGAGGTCAAACTCTCCCTCTTTGCTGACATGATCTTATATTTAGAGAACCCTAAAGACTCAACCACAAGACTCTTGGAAGTCATTAAAAAATACAGTAATGTTTCAGGATATAAAATCAATGTCCACAAGTCAGTTGCTTTTGTATATGCCAACAACAGCCAAGATGAGAGGTTAATTAAAGACACAACGCCCTTCAGCATCTCCCCAAAGAAAATGAAATAATTAGGAATATACCTAGTAAAAGAGGTAAAGGACCTCTATAAAGAAAATTATGAAAACTTAAGAAAGGAAATAGCAGAGGACATTAACAAATGGAAGAACATACCATGCTCATGGCTGGGAAGAATCAACATTGTTAAAATGCTTATACTTCCCAGAGCAATTTACCGATTCAGCGCCATCCCTATTAAAATACCAACATCCTATTTTCAAGACTTGGAAAAAATGATTCTGCATTTTGTATGGAACCAGAAAAAAACCCTATATAGTTAAGGTAGTTCTTAGTAATAAAAACAAAGCCGGGGGCATCACCATACCAGATTTTAGGCTGTACTACAAGGCCATAGTGGTTAAGACAGCATGGTATTGGCACAAAAACAGAGACACAGACATTTGGAATTAAACAGAAAACCAGGAAATGAAACTAGCAACTTATAGCCACCTAATATTTGATAAACCTAACAAGAACGTCCACTGGGGGAAAGACTCCCTATTCGATAAATGGTGCTGGGAGAACTGGATATCCACCTTTCTCCACTCACAAAAATTGATTCAAGATGGATAATGGACTTAAATTTAAGGCATGAAACAAAAAAAATTCTCAAAGAAAAAATAGGAAAAACACTGGTAGATATCGGAATGGGGAAAGACTTTATGAAGAAGACTGCCATGGCTATAGCAACAATCGCAACAATAAACAAATGGGGTTTAATTAAACTGAACAGCTTCTGTATAGCCAAGGAGATAACAGCCAAAGCAAATAGACAACCTACCCAATGGGAAAGGATATTTGCGTATTTTGAATCAGACAAAAGTTTAATAACTAGGATCTATACAGAACTTCAATTAATCCACAAGAAACAAACCAACAATCCTATACATCAATGGGAAAGAGAGATGAACAGAACCTTCTCTAAAGAAGATGGATGAAAGGCTAGCAAATACATGAAAAAATGCTCATCATCCCTAATTGCAAATTAAAACCACCCTGAGATATCATCTAACCCCAGTGAGCATGGCCTGTATCATAAAATCTCAAAACTGCAGATGCTGGCGTGGATGTAGACAGAAAGGAACACTTTTACACTGCTGGTGGGACTGCAAACTAGTACAAACTTTTTGGAAGGAAGTATAGAAACCTCAAAGAACTCAATCTAGACCTCCCATTTGATCCTGTAATCCCATTACTGGGCATCTATCCAGAATGAAAAGAACCCTTTTATTATAAAGATACTTGTACTAAGCTGTTTATTGTAGCCCATTTTACAATTGCTAAAATGTGGAAACAGCCTAAATGCCCTTCAACCCAGGAATGGATTGGTAAGCTGTGGTATATGTATACCATGGAATACTATTCAGCCATTTAAAAAAATGGAGATTTTGCAGCATTTGTCTAACCTGGATGGAGGTGGAACACATTATCCTTAGTGAAGGATCACAGGAATGGAGAAGTATGAATCCTATGTATTCAACTTTGATGTGAGGACAATTAATAACAATGACATGGTGGGGCATGGGGAAGGGGTGAGCAGACAGAGGAGGGTGAGGGTAAGGACAAGAAAAAAAAAGAAAAAGAAAATAGTGACTAATTATCACATAAATTGGATTCAATTCTGACTAAAGTACATTACTTAAACATTAATTTTTACTTCAACTTATTAATATGTTTAGGATACAAGATACTGCATCCTCACTTAAAAGTGAATTATGTTTATAATTTTCCCTTTATAATAATGTATTTTTTCCAATTTTAATATTAGGTGTATCCAGATTAAGCAGAATGATTTTGAAGGATTTCTTCTTTTTCTATTGTCTATAAGATTTGGCATGATCTGTTTTTTGAAATTATCTTTTATTTTTATTTATAAATAATGTCTATTTTTTGAGACTTTGGGGAAAAAAAAGAAGTTAATTGATGACTCCACACTGAACCTCAGAGTCAAAGCATTCTATAATAGACATACTCTTATTTGACAATGTGAATGTTACTTTCTTTGCATTACTATTATTATTGCTTAATACTTTGTTGCAGCAATCATCTGACTTCTTTTCTGAATGTATTTATCTTCATTCTTTACAAGGTTATTGTTTCTAGTCCTAATCTTAAACATTGTTATTGTTGTTAAATTTTAAGTCTTTTTAATTCTGTGATGGCAAAAAGTGGAAACCTAATAATCACATGTATATGTAAAAATAAAAAAAAAATTAAAAAAAAATGTAAATGTCATTCTTAGCTTGGAGAAGACTAGGATTAGCATAGTTTTGAGGCCCATGAACCAAAGCTGGCCTGCCACCTGTTTTTGTTAAGTTTTATGTATGTATTGAATACGGCTGCCTTTGCACTATAATAGAGCTAAGTAGTTACAATGAGGCGATAAGGCCATAACCACTGTGCTACGGGTGCCGAACCGGGCTATGTTCTTTTAAACCAAGCACCTGAATACCAGAAAACCATATCAGAAAAAACTAAATGAATTAGTAAGGTATCAAGACAGAGAGAATTAGTAGGGTCAAGTTTGGAAGAAGACATAAGAGAGAAGGACCTGATATCTGGCACAGCTCTATTCCTCTAAACAGGATAATTACTGATTGTGAAGAAAAAAGGTAAGAGGTAAGCAAAAATCAAAATTCAAAGTCTGCCTAGTTGGGGGTCCCAGGTGGGAACCCCCCACAATAAAGTCTGTCAATGTCTGGAAACAAACAAACAAATAAAAACAAAGTCTGCCTAGGAAGAAAGGTCCTGGAATAGACCAGGCTTTTTATCAAAGACCCTGAGAGGCTACTACAATTTAGCAATACAGGTGAAACAAAACAGATCAACCTTTACCAGGGCTGAAGTCTAGGCTGAAATCATCTCAGCCTAGATGGATGGATACTTAAGATGATCTGCCTTAGCATCATAGAAAAAAATATTCTTGTAGAGAAACATAAAATCACAAAGAATCTCAAATTATTACTAGAATTTCTGTATATTACACAATGTCCAACACGATAAAAAACAACCAAGCATCAAAACGAAAAATGTGATGACAGAGAAAAAAGTAGACAATAGAAACATAGCTATAGGAGACTCAGATAACTGAGTTTCCTTCACTACCTTTGAAAAAACTACTCCTGAGGTGGTCAAGAAATGAAATGACAAGATTTTTAAACATAGGCACAGAACAGAAATAGCTGAAGAGAAAATGTAATAAACTAAAAGCTAGGTCAAAAGAAAATATGCAGAGTGAAGTATAGAAAGAAAAAATAAAGGAAAATAAAGAATTGAGCAAAAAGGCCAAGAGTCGTGGTCTATAATCCCAGCATTCTAGGAGGTTGATGTGGGTGGACTGCTTGAGTTCAGGAATTCCAGGCCAGCCTGAGCAAGAGTGAGACCCTGTCTCTAAAAAATAGCTGGACATTTATGGTGGATGCCTGTATTCCCTGCTACTTGGGAGGCTGAGGCAAGAGAATCGCTTGGGTCCAAGAATTTGAGATTGCAGTAAGCTATGATGTCACTCTACCCAGGGCAACAGAGTGAGACTCTGTCTAAAAAAGAAAAAAATTAAGCAACAGAAATATAAGGAATAGAGTGATGGGGTCTAATATAAGCATTAATTAGAACCTCTGAAGGAACAGACATGTAATTGAGGAGAAGCAGTATTTGAGGAAATGACTGAATATTTTCCCAAACTGAATGATTACCAACACTCAGATTCAAGAGATTCTACAAACCCCCCCAAAATATAATTTTTAACTAAACAAAAAAACTGAAATAGAATAAAATTTTACTTGCAATAAACCTTCAATTACAGTTTTCCTCTAATTTTAGGAAATATTTATATTGTGTTTCTTTCCAGTTCTAAGGCATAAAGAGAGTTAAGCTGCCAGGCTGAGATATGTGTAAGTTTTATTTTATTTTATTTATTTTTATTTTATTTTTTTATTAAATGATAGCTGTATACATTAATGCAAACATGGGGTATAGTGTAGTG